TGGCACCTCCCTGGGCTGTCCCCCCTCTTGTGGAGGGACAGTCCCTGGGGCCCAAGAGATCCAGGATCCTTCCTGGCCCCCAGCCCCCCGTGAGCTGGGGGAGCTGAGTGCACCACGGCACCGCATGAGTTAACATCTCTGCTATTCTCCTGCTCCAGTGCCGGATTCTCCAACCTGTAGAGGCCCTGACCCTCTGTGAGGCCCCAGCCAGACCCTCCCAGGAACTCCACTCCCACCCTTGGGCAGCTGCCCGGCAGCCCTCAGCTACGCCAGATGAACCAGGGAGAGGTGATGGATGAGAAAGGAGATGCGGGGACTCCCTTAGGAGAATAATTTAATTTTATGGGGCAGGGACGCAGGAATGGGGAGCTCAGGCCCTAAACGCAGCAAGCGGCCTGGCTTGCAGGCGTTGGGCGCGGCCAGGCGCATGTGTAACTCATTACCTCTGCGAGCCTCCCATTCGCGGCCGACGGATGATGCTGGGAGCGCGGTGGAGGGCCCGAGGCCACGGGGAGAGAGTGACTGCAATATTTTTCTGACACTAACACCTCTCTCTGGCCCTTGGAGAGGGCCGTGGAGGAGCCAGGCCCGGCTGAACACCACCCACGCCCAGCCTTCTGCCTTTGGGCGCCAGATTGGAGAGGCTTCAGCTGTCTGGGGAAGAGAAAGGCAGGACCAGGGAGGGGGAGGGGCGGGGGAGGGGAGGGGCGGGGGAAGGGGAGGGGAGGGGAGGGGCAGAGGGAGGGAGGCACAGAGGAGGCGGGGTGAGGTGGGGTCGCAGGCCCAGACAGCCCCTGTTTGGGTTTCTGCTCCAAGGGAGGTGTTGGTGGGCCCTGAGGTCAGCGGGGGCTTGGCTGGAAGACCTTGGAGGTTGCGTTCTGTCACGAGCCCACCCACAAATCCCAGCCACACAGGTGGAGCCCATGCTCTGCCCCGCTGGAGACCGGCAGGTGAGGAGGGCCCTGCCTGGGCGTCTTCCCATCCACAGCGGGGCTCGGACACAGGAAGGAGGCGGCGGGGTCCTGAGAGGTGGCCCGGCCAAGGGGTGCAGAGGATGGAGAGGTCCCGAAGGTGTCACCATGGAGCAGGGGTGCGACGGAGAGAGCCTGGAAGGATGTGCGTGGCACCATGCGGGAGAGGGGCAACGTGGCCTGTCATGGCGGGTGCCTAATAGCCCCTCAGCTTCCTTCTCACCTGGTGCGTGAACAGAAGGGAAGGGATGGTGGCAGGTAGGAGGGGAAGAGAAGACGACAGAGCAGAGGAGGGGAGGGGGCAGGGACGTGTAAATAACACCGCGTTTACACCCTGTCTTTAAAGTCCCACCTGCGTTGACGCCTGAGTCATACCTCAATATCTAGACTGAAGTTTTGCAACTTTGCTCCCGCCTGATCCCAAGATCCCCAGGGCCAAGAGGAGGGACCCCCTGGCCTCCCATCTCCCTGTTTTCAAGGGGAAAGTCCTGGGAGGGACTTGGAGCCCCTACAAGGCCTAGCAGACGACACTGCTTTCATTTACTCAAGGCCCGGAGTGTGGGGGATGGGGCTGGCAGGGTCCCCACCTCTGTCCACCTCTGCTTTCCCATCAACCTCCCTCCGCCCCTACCAGCCCCACCCCTTCCTCCCTCTCCTGTTACTCTGTAGAGATGAGAATCAAAGCAGCAAAGTGCCGGGGAAACACGTCAAATCTGGCTTGAATTTCCCCAAGTCAGAGCTCACCATTTTCCTCTTAGAAATGAGAGGGAAGGGGAAAAAAATCAAACCAGAAACCGAGGAGCCTTTAGGTGGTGGTTTCATCTCAACACTCCAGTTTCTCCGGGGTCTTCACGGCCGCCCCTCCACCCCCGGCCCCATGTCTGGCGTCCAGGAATGAAGTGTGGAGGAGACCCAGACGATGTGGAAATCAGGTTTAGAATTTATTTGTTCCGCCACCTTTAGATTTCAAGGACCCCTGTGTTTGCTCAGCCATTAGTTTGTTCATTCAGTCATTCAACAAATATTGATACTTGGGAGCACCTGCTGTGCCCCAGGCTGGGAGACACTGATGAACAAAACAGAGATGCCTGCCCTGGTCCAGCCTATGCTCTTCCCATGAGGAACAGAGAGTAAACAGTAAACATGATAAATAAGAAAATGATATAGTATGTTGAGGAGACTAGGACTCGGTGAAAAAGGAAAAAGAGAAGGAGGGAAATGGGTGTGCAGGGGAGGACGGGAAGCCCTGACACAGAGGTGAGATTTGAGCAAAGACCAGAAGGAGGTGAGGGGGACGCCTGGAGGGTCTGGGGGCAGCGTACGTCGGGTAGAGCGTGCCAGCAGGTCCACTGTGAGGGTCAGAGGCTCCTTGGCCACAGTCAGTGCCTGGGTTTTTATTCCCTTCAACGTGGGAGCCTTTGCTGGGCTTTGCTCCAACTCAGGTTTTAAAAGGACCACACCGCAAATACAACATCCAAGTCTGTTTCTGTGCACAGGATTTTAGGACTGGATGGGAGCTCAGAGACACCCCCTCTGCCCCTGTGGAGCACTGAGATGGAGACACTGAGGCCCAGAGAGGGGATGTGCCCATCAGGTCCCATGCCCCAGGGCGGGGTGGGGACAGGGGAGGGAAGAGTCAGCATCCAGCCTACATCTTCCGACCTCTGCTGTCCACACTTCACGGGGCGCTGCGGCTCAGGTGACCCCTGGGACACTTGCTGGCCTGGTTCTAAAACTGCCCTCCGACCAGATCTCCCCATGGCTGGGGTTACTGTTATTTTTCAGTCCTTCTGGTCCAAACGGCCTTTTTAAAAATCTCAGGTTCAGAAAAGGGGAGGTAAGATGAGGTCAAGAGAAGGGGGAACCATGGCCCAATGACACTCCCCAGGCCTCTCCCAACCCCTGGGGTCCCCCTGCCATGCCCTTCCCCACTGGCACCCCAGGATGGCCTGGGTGGTCCTGCAATTACCTCTCTGAGCTGTACCCCAGTTCTTTCTTCCCAAATCAGGCCTCTTTACTGATGGGCCACTGGGGAGAGGGTGGATGAAGGATGTGAAGGCCAGCTTGGCTTTGCTGATGTACTGATGGGGAAAAGCTGAGCATTGGTAGCTCCCTGGGGGAGGGGGGGGGGCTTCCTCTCTTCCCAGGTGTCATTAACTTAACAGAAACACTGGCCTGTCTGGTGCAACTCAGCTGGTAATACCTTTCCCCAGCTACCTCTTCTCTTACAAAACTGTATTCAGTCTTTAAGGCCTTTACCAGAAAGGCTTCGCCCTGCTTGACTTTAATAACTACACATATTTTTACCTGCTTTACATGGTGGGTAATTGTCCCCATGCCAGTCCCTCCCACTGGGATCAGAAGCTCTTGGAGGACAAGGATGGTTTCATTTCTCTCTGGAGCATCTCTGGCACCTAACCCATAGCTTGACACATTGTGGGTCCTCAAAATGTGGTTGTGGACTGGAATTCGGAGGAAGGGCTCTGATGGGGGGTAGTTTACTAGGGCAGGTGAAGGGCCCAGATCTCCTGTCTCCTCTCCCTCCTGAGACAATCCCTAATCCCTTTCTGAGCCACCCAACTTCCCTTCCTACACTCAGCACCTCATGGGAGGAAAGATGGGGTTGAATGAGGGGGAGTCATTTCTAATTTCGAGTAATTTCAAGACAAAGGCAGTTGGCAGAGTGGAACACAGGAACACAATGAAACATGGTGCTTGAGAAAAAAGTTGAATAAAGGCATCTGGGATGGTTAATTTTATATGTCAGCTCGGTTGGCCATAGGGTAACCAGATTAAACATCATTTCTGGGTGTCCATGAGGGTGTTCTAGATGAGATTAGCTTTTACATTGGTGGAATCAGTAGAGCAGATTGTCCTCCCCCATGTGGGTGGGTCTCATCTAATCAGTTGAGGGCCCGAGTAGCGCAAAAGGTGGGGAAATTCACTTTTTGCTTCCTGCCTGACTGCTGGAGCTGGGACATATCATCTCATCCTCTCCGGCCCTCAGACTGTGATCTGCACCATTGGCTTCTCTGGTTCTCAGGCCTTCTGACTCGGACTGAACTATACCACCAGCTTCCCTGGGCCTCCACGCTACAGACAGCAGATCGTGGGACTTCTCAGCCTCCATAACCATGTGAGTCAATTCCCCATAATCAGTCTCTTTTTGTGTGTAGACATCCTCGTGCTTCTGTTTCTCTGGAGAACCCTAAGACAGCCTGTTTCCATCTCATTGACCATCAGTTTTTACAAAACTCTCCTGTGAGTTTCCTTCTACTCATCTTTGAAGTGGGGTTGAAGCTCTCATCTCCTATACTCACTGCAAAGAGGAGTGTATTCATTCAGGCAATAAGCATTTATTAAGCACCTACTAAGTATCGAGCTCTGTGCTGGCTGCACAGGAGTTGGCTGTGAGCAAGGTGCTCTGAGCTCCTCTAGAGGAAACTGCATCTGTTGAATCTCCAGGGTTTTAGCAAATAACCAGCCCCCAAAGATGCAGTGCGGTCTGGGTCACTAGGATGGGGCCCCTTCCTGTGCCATGACCTGAGGCCTCAGTCCCAGGGGAGGATGAGCATCTGGAGAGGTGCGTTCCCTCCTTGCAAACACTTTAGGAAGCGCACTGGAGGTTCGTCACCCGAGAGGGTCTGGGCTTCTTGGTTCAGTTGCCTTTTGTGTGACCCCAGCCTCACCCAGAGGAGAGGACGGCAGAGAGGCAAAAGGATTGCTCTAGGAGTCAGGACACTCAGTGCTGGGGCCCCTCTATGACCGACGAGCTGTGTGATGCTTAATGCTTTTCTCAGTTTCCGCTAGCTCCTCTGTAAAATGCGTCTCATCTTGCTGGTCACACAGGTGTGTTGAGATGCATGAATGAGAAAACACACAGAAAAGACCCTTCCGAGCACGCATTTCAACCTATGCAGTATTGTGTGTGTGAGTGTGGGGGGGTCACCAGCACCCTGGGGCAATGCCAGGATCCGGTGTTGGGGGCAGGGCTGATCTCGCGCCTAAGACCGAGCCAGAGGCACTCACCGTCCTCACACAGGTTCAGCTTGGACAGGCTCCTGCCATCAAAGGGCTCCTCAAAGATGGAGCCAGAGTCACGGTCGCTCACGGTGGCGTGCAGGTACATGGCTTTGTTCTCCATCGCGTCCTGCAGCAGCAGGAGAGGAAGGGAGGACGCAGGGGGGAGAGAAAGGACATAAGCTGTAGGTGGAGACACAAATGAGTGGTGACCTTAGCCTGAACACTGGGAAACTCCCTCATCAGCAGGCATCAGTCACCGGATCCTTAGGACCCAAATTCCCCCTCCTCAACTTCCTTGGCTTGGGGAGGCCAAGGCCCTTTGGACCTTTCTGACCATGGGATCCGTCCCCTCCCTTTCATAGGTCTTGGTGGGGCTGGAGCCCTGCGCTGGGGGACACCAAGGGCCATGCTGGGTGGGGCTGGGAGAAGCCAACCCTCTTGACCCAAGCAGAGGAGTTTCCAAGATTCTGGAGTCCCGGGCACATCAGGGAGACTTGGGCTTCTGCTCTGTGTTGGAAATGGAGAGAAACTAGACATAAAGTGGGGGTACAGAGACCACCAGTCAACAGAGCTAAGACCAGAACTGCTCCCAAACCTGGCCAAGGTGGCATGGTCAGAAGGGCTGGGTTCAGGGGACCATAGCAGGGATTCACCCCCATGGGAGCCCAAGGGGCAGGTGGCCTCAGTGAGGTCCCCCAGACACTAAGGTCTGGGCAGCCTTAGACTGGGGAGGGCCCTGGTGTCCGATGGCCTCCTGAGGCTGGATCGCTGGGGCTTGGGGAGGACCCCATGGAATTTCTAGAATGTCCCATCCACATGGGGAAATGCTGTGTATGCTCTTTGAAATGAACCAGCCCCGTTTACACAAGTGTGCACGACGTGATCCCATTTTGTAATATCTACACATGTCCCAAGTACGTGACGGGAAAGATGCTATTCAGAGATGTTCTGGGTTTCCCTGGGTGAGACGTGTATTACGGGACTCTGGGTGGGATTGTGGGGATTTGTGCTTCTTTTTGTTCGCTGGATTTTCTGGGTTTTCTATGATACGTTTGCATTCTTTGTGCAAGAAGAAGAAATCATTTGCAGAGCCAGATCACAAAGTATTTATTTACCTAAAATACTCGATATCCTTTCCCCACACATACGCTCGTGATTTTGCAAATGACTCTCCACTTTCTGCTCAGTTCCAGCCACTGATTTATGTTGACTTTCGGTTCTGATGCTCTTTGACTATCTGGATATCGAACCCCAAAATTCGCTTTTAAAAAGTGAATTCTTTGGAAGATAAAAGCCCCCCGGGGAGGATGGGGGGGTCCCAGGCCCAGCGTGAAGCTAACTCAACCCTGAGGCCCAGAGAGCCTAGCCAGGCGTCTACCACTGTGAGAAGGGGACAGGGCCTGGCAGGTGGCAATGGGGGGACAGTGGCCACTGACTGAAGGGAAAAGAGGCACCCACCCTGTTCCAATAAACAGGGACGATGGCCAGACCCCCTTGCCGGGCACAGCAAACACAAATCCCCTATTTTCACAACCTGACTTTTCTCTCCAGAGACCTCTGACCTCAGGGCTGACAGGAGGCCAGAGCTGACCAGTTGCCATCCACCTGTCCTTCCGCTGGCCCAGGAGGGATGGCTGGGGCTTCTGCTCTTCAAGTAATGAGATGCCATCTGCCCCGCACACACGGTCACGCATGCACACACACACACACACGCAGGCACACACACTCAGGGTGTTCCCAGGCCCTGTGGGCCTTTCCTCCAGCCAGTGGGAGGGAAGGGTAGAGGGGAGCCTGCAGCCCTGCCGGCATCTCTCTTCCCTGCCCTCCGGGGTTCTTGGAGAGACGGCTCCCAGCCCCGCTTCTCCGGGCTGCAGTTGTGTCCAGTTTGCGAGTCCCCTGATGCTGGCCCTCCGTCTAAGTCCTCCACCCAGGGAGGGCCTCTAGGTGCGGCCCTGGGCAGCTCCACTGCTGCTAAGCTACAGGGGACCCTCCCTCGTTTCCCAAGCGCTCGTGCGGCACCCCGCCCTCTGGCCTCAGTCCTGGGGAGCTGCAAAGCAGGAGGCCGGTGTCTCCTCTGAGAGAGAGAACCCTCTCTCTGCCAAAGGCAACCGCAGCTGCCGTCCAGAGCCCGTGGGGTCTCCGAGAACCAGGGGTGGAGGTGTGGAGCCGGGCTTGGACCAGCTTTCCTGTCTGCCCATCGGCTCCCGGATCAGAGCTGGAATGCGCAGCACATTATCTGGAGTGTGTCTGTAGCGCAGCCCCTCCCCTGCCCCTCCGGACCCCTCAGCTGGTGGAGCCCTGGGGAGCCTGCTGGGAAAGGGGCTGAGCTGGAGGCCAGATGCCGTGCCATGAGATTGGCAGTGTTCAGCCGGCGCTGCTAATGTTTGCTCCTTGGGAATGAAACCTAAGAATGTTCTGTCTGCCCCAGGTTTTATCTGGGGCTGCTTTTCTTTCTTGGGGAATGGGGGGCAGGAATTTGGACCTTCCCGGCATTGGTCTTATAGCCTTTGGGCCAAGCCTGTGCAACTAATTGCCAAGTGGGGTGACGACACAGCAATACCTCCCAGCCCCGCACCCGTGTGCGTGCGGCCCCCGCAGTGCAGACCCTTTGCCTTTGGGACCTCTCTGCTTCCCAGGAGCCCCGTGAGGGAGGCAGGTGGCATCGGTCTATCATATTCCCATTCTAAAGGTAAGCCAACCGAGGCCCAGAGGGGAAGAACCGATGGGTGTCAGAGAGGGTGAGGCTTCCCACCCAGGGCACTGGCTTAGCGCGAAGTTGCTCTGTCCGGGAAGCGTGTGTCAGTCCCTTTTGGTGGCCCCCTTTCGGGCCCAAAGTGATGCAGTGAAGAGGGCCAGGTTAGGTGACCTGGAGCCAGGAGAGCCAGAAGGGAGGGGACCAGAGCCACAGAAACACGGGCAGGGTGGAGACACCAAAGGGACCTGTGGGGAGTGTGGGCTCAGAGGACACGGGGTCCCATCCCAGCTCCACTTCTTATCCCTGGGGAACTTGGCCCAATCAGCTGAGCTCGTTCAGCCTCAGGCCATCACCTCTGTGATGGGAAGAACACACCTGCTAGCCACTTGGTCCCAGCGAGCCTCGTGTGGGGCAGGGCATGTGGGAGGGCTGCATGGACAGGGGCATGCAGGGAGTCCGTGGTGGAGTCTGGTGAGAACCAACAGCTCCTCAGCATTTTCTGATCCTGCCAAGCAGCCAGGTACAGGGGTCCCTGGTCTCCTGAGGCCACCCTCCTGCCTAGTCAGTCCCAGAAACAATGCCAGTTGGATCCCTTTGCGAAAGGCAATCACAAATGCAGACCAGAGCTGAGAGCTGGAGCCTGGTCCTCCAAGTACCCCTCTGGGCAGCAGCAGGACGCAATCAATTCTGCCTGCTGAGGGGGTGGCCCAAGCCTTGCTGGGTTCCAGCGTCTAACTCTACAGGGCTCGTAACTCATCAAAACTAAATAGAGATCACCCTGCATGTGGCCCTCTCTGGAGACAGAATCGCTAAGTCAGTTTTAAGCCCTTTCCTCCTCTAACGGTACTTAGTTCACCTAAATCATAACCCAGAGCTGGAGAGGCACAGATGGTTTATAAGTAAGCTCTGCCTTCATACGCTCCACCACTGGACACACCTGCAGGCACACACACACACACACACACGTAAAGGGACTGTCACCTGTCCCATCTGCCCCCTGAATAGGCTGTGGAGCTGTGACATGAGGCTGGCAGAGTTGCCACTAAAGCGATCGCTTCCTCTGGCTCCCAAATGAGGGCTCACACCCACCAGCCCAGGCATCTGGATGAGGGCCCAGCAGGTGCCCCAAGCTGACAGCTAGGACTTTCCCACCCAGCACTAGCACCTCCACGCTCCACATCCTGGGGATGCTCAAACCCAGCGCCCCGTGTCCCCTGGCTGCCTTTAGAAAGCTGTGCCCAGGTGCTAGGACAGTCAGCCCCAAGACTCACCTGAGGGCTCCCCGTGAGGCTGCAGCGACCGTCCCCTCAGTTCCTGGCATTGGCCATGGTGGCTGGAGAGCTGGCTGCTGCCACCACCCCGAGACCCAGGCAGCCCCTCAGAGCTCGTTCCCACTGCCAGCCAAATCCAGATGGAGTCATAGAAAGAGGCTGCACGGTGCCCAGGGTCTCAGGGGTCACTTCTCCAGGAGGATCAGGTCAGGAGGCAAGACTCAACCTTGTGCCCATGTGGGAGTCCCTGTCTTGGTGCCCCGCCTCGGTCAGCCTTGGGCAGCGCTCGGGAGATGTTCTGTGGAGGCACCAGCGTCTCTGCTAGATACTGTCTGAGCTGTGAACTGCAGCTGCTCTGGCCGCCGGGCTTTATAAAGTTCTTGGAGCAGTTGCGAGGCTCCTATGGGGTCTGGAACGCGTCTCCCTCTAGTGGCCAATTTGAGCATTACAGCCCCACGCAGGAACACCCGCTGGATCCAGAGCAGCCTTGGTCTTGGGGACTCCACCCGCTTGTTCTAAAGGCCCTGCTCAAGGTATTTTTGGAACGCTTCTAGCGGAATGGCAGCTAGACCTGGCTTATGAGCCGCGCAAGAAAACCAGCCTTGTAAATTTATTCATAGGACGGAATTGGCATTGCTCGGTTCATTCACCGAACTTAGCTTAGAATTACTTTATGTGTTTTCCTGGAGGCACATCCACCCGTAAAGGACACGGATTGCCTGATTCAGAAGAGGGTTCTGGGAGTGCTGAAGGAACTTCCCAAAGTCAAGTTCAATGCAACTCAGTAAGGAAGCCAGCATTTCTGGAGCACTGACACCGCGCAAAGGTCAGGATACAGAGGTGAGTGAGAGGACACCGCCGGCCGCAGGGGGTTGCAGTCCAGGCTGAGAAGTGGGCTTGGGCACAGATAACTGTAAACCTAGCGTAAACCTAAGCATAACTGAAGATGTGTAAAAAAGGAGATTTCACCAAAATGTTAAGAGGGTAATTACCTTCAGGTTGAGGTGGTGATGGCAGCTCTGCCTGGGGGACAGAGCTCTGAGGTGACATTCACAAACACGCTCCCATTTCTTGCTTACAAGCTCAGCCTTAACCCCTGAGGGTCAGACCTCGTACAGGAGAATAGTTTGCCAAGGCTCAGCTCTCCCCACTGTGCAACCAGCAAACCACAGCTGAGTCGCAAATGTCTTAGTTATTTGCAGTGACTGCGCCTTCTGACCGTCCCTGGCAGGCAGCTACAATGTGAGGCTCCAAGACTCCGTTTTACAGGGAAAAAAACCCCAGTAATTATATCATAATGATGATGATAATAATAATAATTGGAGAAGGAAGAGGAAGAAGGAGGGGAGGGGAGCGGGGAGGAAGAGGTGAGAAAAAAACCCTTCGTAATATATATGCCGTGCTAGGTAATTCCAAGTGCTTTTCATATATTAACTCATTTAACCTTGACAATAGCCCTATGAGGTAGGTACTGCTATTATTCCCACTTTATTGAGACAGAAGAACTAAGCAATATGTCCAAGGTCAAGAAGCCTGTAAGTGGCAGAGCTAGATTCCACTCCAGGCAGTTTGACTGTAGTCTGTGCCCCGAACAACTCCCCTAACTGCCTCTGATGAAAAAGAGTGTGTTTTAGTCACCCATCAAGTCACCAGTATTCCTGGGAATGTAATCTTACAAATAGCAGGAAATGTGCTCAAAACGTTACGTCCAGCGATCTCACGGTGGAGACGTATATATTAACAATAAATGCCGTGGTTGGTGAGACCCTGGTGATGTCCCACTTATGTGAAGCAAGGCCTTTTTTTTTTTTTTGGAATATAGCTGATTTACAAGGTTTCAGGTATACAGCAAAGTGATTCATTTATACATACATATATATTCTTTTTCAGATTCTTTTCCATTATACATTATTACAAGATGTTGCATAGAGTTCCCTGTGCTATACAGTAGGTCCTTGTTGGTTATCTGTTTTATATACAGTAGTGTGTATCTGCTAATCCCAAATTCCTAATTTATCCCTCCCCCACCTCCTTTCCCCTTTGGTAACCATAAACCTGTTTTCTATGTCTGTGAATCTGCTTCTATTTCGTAAATAAGTTCATTTGTGTCATATTTTAGATTCCACACATAAGTGATATCATACGGTATTTGTCTTTCTTTCTGACTTACTTCACTTAGTATGAAGTATGATAATCTCTAGGCCTATCCATGTTGCTGCAAATGGCATTATTTCATTCATTTTTATGTCGGAGTAATATTTCATTGTATATATGTACCGCAACTTCTTTATCCATTCATCCGTCGATGGACATTTAAATTGTTTCCATATCTTGGCTATTGTAAATAGTGTTGCTGTGAACATTGGGGTGCTTGTACCTTTTAGTTTGTTTGTTTTTTGTTTTTTTTTTTTTTTTGCGCTACGCGGGCCTCTCACTGCTGTGGCCTCTCCCATTGCGGAGCACAGGCTCCAGACGCGCAGGCTCAGCGGCCATGGCTCACGGGCCCAGCCGCTCCGCGGCATGTGGGATCTTCCCAGACCGGGGCACGAACCTGTGTCCCCTGCATCGGCAGGTGGACTCTCAACCACTGCGCCACCAGGGTAGCCCTGGGGTGCTTGTACCTTTTTGAATTAGAGTTTTTGCTTTTTCTGAATATATGCCCAGGAGTAAGATTGCTGGATCATATGGTAACTATATTTTTAGTTTTTTAAGGAGCCTCCTTACTGTTCTACGTAGTGGCTGCACCAATTTACATTCCTACCAACAGTGTAGGAGGGTACAAGGCATTTTTTTTAACACTCCTATACTGGTGTGCCCTGCCCGTAGGGGAAAGGAAGGATGGGGACTCAAAGGCAGCCCAGGCTATTGGCTGAGCCTCTCCTTACCATTGGTAATTGATGATACAGACATGGAGGGGTCTCGTTCTCTGCACGTGAGACCCACGAGTGGGTACAGAACTATTAAACTCTAAAATTGCAGGAGGAATAAAGCTTAGCCTTTTAAACTCAGTAGCTTCAGGCAAAGGACATGACTTTCTCTCATTAATGCCTGATTTATTTCACTTCTTATAGTGATAAGATTTGTCCACATCAGTGCACATAGCGGTAGTTTGTTCTTTGTATTTTCCTTTTGGCTGAGTAATACTCCATCATATGCGTAGAGCACAACTTGTTTATCCGTTCTCCTTTTGATAGGCATTTGGGTTGTTTCCAATCTTTGTCTGTCATGAATAAAGCTGCCCAAACAGGCGAGGAGACATTTGATAGCAAAGTATAGGAACGACCTGGGAGGTATGTCTTCTAGTGGATGAGAGTCGTGCTGGCAGCTCATAGCTCCGATGATACCTTCTTGTCACCTGAAATCAGCATGGTCCAAAAAGCCCCCCACTCAATGGCAGAAAGCATTTATAATAGGCATTTTCCACCAGATGGTATTATGAAACTGTGATTACACTGAAGGAGAGTAGAACAAACTTCTGCAGTAGCTGCCTCTATGGATGTGGAAGCCAATGAGGCACATCAGTGTGCTCAAGGGCGTCCTGCTTTCTTTGAATGATTTCATTTGATTGTCCCAACAACTGTCTAGGGCGGAGATGGGGAGAGAGTTATCATCCTCAGTTTTCATATGGAGAAACCCAGCAATGCTGAAACTGAAGGTCACGACGCTGGGCTCTTGGAGGCAACTTTCACAGCTGTCCTCTACCTCTAGAGCCTCTACATCTGCAGGGATTCCTTCCATACATTCAGTTATTCACTCAACAAACATCTGTTACATAACCTTCATGCAATGTATTCCAAATATTTCTACAAACATGAATTAGACCCAGCCCCTGTCCTTCAGGATCTCGGTCCAGGGGGAGAGAAGGTATGAGAGCAGAGAGTCACAGCCCAGCACCCCTCAAGGGGCTCCTCGTGGCTTCACGTTGGATGAATCTCAAACCTTCATCCTCAGGCCAGGATTTTCCCCCAAAAGGCTCTTTTTTCCCCCAACAAGAATCTTTTTTTTAACTTCCTTTTGTAATCTCAGGGAGATATATATATATATATATATATATATATATATGACTGAGATGAAGAAGACACAGAATTTTTTTTAAAGTCCCCAGGCAACCAAAATAAAACTCTAAAATGAAACATGGGGAAAAAAACGTCTAAAAAGTTTAACATATCTAAGGAAAAATGGACAAATCATAATCCAATCTGTACATTCTTCACAAACTGAATAGAATCCAGCACCTGAGTGTAGAGCAGAACATTCCAAGCACCTCAGAAGCTCCCCTCGTGCCCCATCTGGTCCCTGATGCCCCCGAACCAGATAACCACTATCCCATATTCCATCACCACAGATGGTTTTGCCTGTTTTTGAACTTCATGTCCATGGAATCATTCACTGCGTGTCTGGCTTCAACATCATGTCTGAGATTGTTCCCTCGTGCTTAGCAGTAGTCCGTTCGTTCTCGCTGCTATAAGTACTCCATTGTGTGAATTTCCTTTCTACTGTGGATGGCCATTTGGGTAGGTTCCAGGTTTCGACTGTTGTAAAGAGTGCCGCTATGATCATTCAGTGCATGTCTCCTGGTGAGCAAATGGGTGCATTTCTGTTGGGTATATACCTTGGAAGGGAATTGCTGGGTCCTAGGGTGGCCTGGGTTCAGCTTCAGTAGATATTGCCCAAGAATTTTGCAGAGTGATTGTACCAGTTTACCTTCCTCCAGCAAAGCATGAGGGTTCCAGTTGCTCCACGTCCTGGCCTGTGTTAGTGATGTTTATCTTTTGTGGAGTCATCATACTGTGGTTTTAATTTACATTTCCTTGACAACCAGTGAAGTTGAGCTCCTGTAACTATACTTACTTAGTTTGATTTTTTTACCTGATCTCTGGACCTGAATTCCCAGCTGTCTGTGCGTCTCCGTCCCTGCCTGATGAATTTGTGTTGACTGTTCCATCTGCCGGGAGTGGTTCCCCCACATGTTTGCAGGGTGAAATCTTGCCTCCTTCCAGTCTTTTCTCAAATGTCACCTTCTCAGTGGAGCTGACCCTAAGAATTTTGTTTAAAGTCGCTCTCCAGGACCTGCCTGGAGATTCTCCTTACCCTGCTCCACTTATGGTCTTTTTTTCCCATTATCCCAATAGACTTAAGTTACCACATAATTCGCTATGCTTGCAAATGATTACTACTATATTGTTTATGGCCTGTAGAAGCCCAGCTCTGTGAAGGCAACTCACTCATGCATCCCAAATGCCTACACCAGTGCCTGGCACACAGCAAGTGCTGCACAGATATGTGTTGTGTGAAGATCTGGGTTA